AAAAGCTTGGAATATGTTCCCCACCGTTGGCACCACTTGGTGGTGCCACTACAACCTCACAACGATTGCGGGAAATGATAGTCCTAGAAATCTTCTATCTTGCCACAGTAATGATTTAAAGCACACTTCTAAGATAAGAGGTATAATAGCTGCTAGAAATATGTAACCCGCCCTTGGCACCACTTGGTGGTACCACTTCAGCCTAATTTTTATGGCCGTATATAATAGCCCTGTGGACCCTTGTGCCAGTAATTGTTCGAAGCACACTTCAAGGATAATAACTTAAAATAGTTAAATTACCTTCAAACCCTTATCAAGGTAAACATTAGGAGTAAGCAAATTTCAGGTTAGCCTTTTGGCACCATCATGTTCCTGAGACCCGTAAAAGAGCTTAAAAGGGATTCTCCCGGAAGTACTTAACCTATTTCCAATGCTGATTTGTTCTTAAGCGGTCAAAGATGGTGACATTTGTTTGGTTTGTTTATTTGTTTTGAAACCGCATAATTTTCCTTATGCAGGTGAGCTTAACTGCCTCCAAGTGTTTAAATTATTAAATAATTAAGTGTTGCATTAATTATCTAATTATTAATTATAAATTGTCTAAAATGAGTCATTAAACAGTATTGCGTCAGAGTACTCTCGGTCCTTTGATGAATTTCCTTATTGGCTGCTAGCTTCTACGGGCTTAATGGCTGCTGTTATTGGCTGCTAGCTTCAGTCTAGTGATTTTAGGAAGCATGTGCTGTCTTTAATTTTAACGGTCCTCCACACCCCGTGACTTGTGACGTATATCGTGAAATAATACCTTTACTTCCGGTTTTATATAGTTTGTGCACTGACAAATTGTATGGCACCGCCTGTAAGGGAGTCTTAGAAAAGCTTTAGAGATAAAGGTTTTGTCAAGCGAAAAGTATGCAATAAACTAAGAGCGACACCCTAATCATAAACAATGAATACATGGCATGATCACGGCTTGACAGAAAGATTTTTTCAATAAAATAACAGCAAACCTTTGGGTTTATGTTGCATATTAATAATCGTAAATAACAGGTACCGGTATATCTACGAGAAAAGTGTTAGGTTATTTATTCAATCCATTGTGATATCATCAACAAAGTCTGTTGTAAAAGCTAATATTATTTGCGCACACTGATTTGATCGTTTCAATAATACGTATCTTATTGTGTGCTTATAAATACAATGTATTGATAAACATTGTTTGTTTGGTTGGTTGTTTATTACTCTCAAACCATACAATGGTACTTGAGGTACATTAACACATTTACATATATACAGAATTTCAGGTCAAGTAGGGAAGAGTAGTATATATAAAAAAGAAGATTATTACTGAAAACATGCCAAAATCTTTTTAACAAACAAAACGGCTTTATCAATGAGTCTACATCTGTGGTGGACATAAGGTTCTGAGTCAACACATTTAATATAAAAAATGTATGTCGATGTGTAAACTGCTTTTCCTAGCATCCCTAGCCGTCTCGGTCTGGGGTTGAAGTTCGGTGTGATCTTTTCTTAGATTGTCCATATTAATTCTAAAGTTAAACGAGACTTACCTGGAAGGTGAAGTTTGACTGGAATTTCTTCGACCAATTGGGGGTGCAGAGGGATCAAATGAGAGATGATAAGCTTACCACGTGATTCATACTTTTAGAGTTTTATTTGGATTTATCAAATTATACTTTACGGGTGGGTGTATACTGCAAGTATACGGGAGGGCATTTGATCCCTCTGCACCCCCAATTGGTCGAAGAAATTCCAGTCAAACTTCACCTTCCAGGTAAGTCTCGTTTAACTTTAGAATTTCTTCTCCCAATGGGGTGCCTCAGTCTCAAATGAGACTTTAGAGTTGATAAATCCAAATTTTCAATTTTCTATAAGTTATGATATATTAAATATAAAGCTAACTTGCATCCTTATCAAAGCCTACTTTGGCTGCGTATCACGTATAAATAATCGGAATTCATAATGTCTATGATTTAGTTATATAATAAATATTATCTTGTCTTTTAGTAATAATCAATATAAAGCAGAAGTCAATTTTGTTTCAAATCTATTAAAAAAGAAATACACACTGGCATACATGACAAATAAATATGTGACATTCAAACTTGATCATATTTGGAAAGCATTCTCTGACTAAAATTGTCATCCACAATGATAGGTCTGTTATAATATTTTCTAAAAACACAATCACTTTTCCATCCAACAGTCTTCAAGATGGTAGACATTGGAAGTTTGCGCGCGAGCGCTGCGCTGCTGGACGCCGCCCTTGTACTATGGGGTTTGAATATGTTAATGTCAATTCCAGCGGAACACATAACGGATTTCATCCATCTGCCGACGGTGTCCCTGGACACCGCGCGATGGGGTTTCTGCGTTGTAACGAATAAGTTTTAACATCATTTCTCAGGTTACTCGTTCTTAGAAGGTAGTGTTTCATAACACGAACAACACATAAACTTTCATCATGAGGATAGCTTGAGAAATTTAGTTCGCCCATATGTGACTTAGGATTTGATGTTTTCAACAGATCACCTATAACAATTTTCAAAATTTTGTCATCGACATGTACATTTCTTATATCTATTAAATGCAATGTTTGACCCCTTTGTCCTGACAATAACGCAAGTAACATTAATAACTTGTGAGATACATGTAACAAGGTCAAATCCTTTAAAGGTTCTAGAGATTTCAAATAATCCAACACAATATCTACATTCCATGTAACACTATATTTAGGTAAAGCAGGTTTCATTATAAAAACACCTCTCAAAAATCTACAAACTAAATGATGTGAACCAATATTTACAGAGTTTGTTAATTGTAAAAACGAAGATAATGCACTTCTGGCAGTATTCAATCCACTGTAACCTAAACCTGCTTTATACAATTTTGTTAAAAACGCCAAAACATTATTTACATTTGCGTCAAAAATATCAATTTTTCTTTGCTGACAAAATAACATCCATTTTTGGTGATATGTCCAATATTGTTTCTTTGTGGATTCCCTCCACGAGGAAAGGAGTACGTCGATAGTGTCCTCCGATAAGCCTCGGTTCTGGAGCGATTTCCGGACACACGAAAAACACCCAGTCTCATCTTGGGTATCGGATGTACTTTGTCTGGATTGTTCGGTAGCTTCAGAAGTTGCTGATTGTTCGGTAATAAATAGCTGCTCGCTGCTATCAGCTGTAGTAATTTGGGAAACCAGGGTTGCGTCGGCCATATTGGGGCTACAATGACTGCTTCCACATTCTCTGTCATTATTTTCTGAAGTACCCTGCTGAGAATACAGAAAGGACAGAAAATATAACATTCCATGAAATTGTAAAAGCGTCTATCGCTATTGCGTGTTTATCAGGGGCATATGAAACATATGTAGAAATTTGTCTATTGTATCGGGATGCAAATAAATCTATGTCACAATTCCCATATAGTCTTGTAACCTCGTCAAAAATCTCTGGATCAAGCATCCATTCCATATCAGGATTAAAGTTTTGTGAAAGGTAATCAGCTTCTACATTTTCTACACCTGCTATATGACATGCCGTTACCCAAATGTTTCTTTTTATACAAAATTCCCAAAATTGTTTTGTTAATTCATTTAAGGTTTCAATTTTTCCTCCCATTTTATTGATATACGTAACAGCGACGGTGTTATCTAAATACAGTTTTAAATGACAGTCTTTCAAGTATTTGCACATGCGTGTCAAAGCGAGAAAAGCTGCTTTCAGTTCCAGGTAATTTATATGAGATTCCTTATCGTGGTCATCCCATACCCCCTGAATGCACTCCCCGCTGTTTTCATTGATAGCGCCCCAGCCATTCCCCGAGCTGTCAGTTTTTATCGTAACGAGGGGGTTATCACGCATTATTTTCCGAGGATAATTATTCACATTATTAATCCACCATTGTAGGGTAATTAGGGCATCTGGCGAGAGTGAAATACGAGCTTCGTAGTTCCCAACGTTTTGTTTTAGAAGTCTATCTTTCTCTATTTCTAATGACTTGTAATACAGAGGCGCGAATTGAACTCCTTGCTCACTTGCCACGAGTTTTCCTATCAGTTGCGCTAATTGCCTAATTGTCAGACTTTGCGAGGCAATGATTTTCTTACAAGTGTCTTGTATAGATTTTGCCTTATCGTCCGTTAAAGAAACTGTCATTGTTTTTGAATTGATGATAAATCCCAAAAACTCGATTTTCTGTGTAGGGATAAAGACTGACTTGTCTATATTCACTGTTAAACCGAGGTTGTCTAGCAATGTAGCAGTGGTTTTAACATTTTTTACACATTCAGTCTTAGAATCACTGATAAGTAATGTGTCATCTATGTATGCAACATTTGAAAAGCCTTGTTTCCGTAGAGTTGAAAATGCGGGTTTCATTAGTTTGGTAAATATTCTGGGCGCTGACGCTAATCCCATTGCCAAACATGTATACTGATATTTTTGTCCGTTCCACAGAAATCGTAAATATTTTCTGTCATTAGCATTGATTTTACAGGAATAATACGCATCTTGTAGATCTATTGAGGCCATGAAACAATCTTTGGTCACTAAATTTATTGCGGCTTTTAAAGTCTCCATTTTGAAATGATGGTATTCTACACAATTATTCAGATTTTTAAGATTGAGAATTACTCGATATTTCCCATTTTTCTTTGGTCTGATAAAAATGTTTGATAAGAATTCATTTTCCTCCGAATCTATCACTTCTTCGATAATTTTCTTATGCAATAATTGTGTGATTTCTTGATCTTCCAAAATCATTTCTTCATTGTTAAATTGAATTGGTTTTGGTGAACACATTTGATAGGGAAATTCATCAAATTCTATGGAATACCCTCGAACAGTTGATAGTACTGTAGCATCAGAAGTTATTTCTGTCCAAGCTTCAATACACTGGGATATTTTCCCTGCTTGGAAATTATCATTTGTGTTCATGAAATTCATATCAAATTTACTCACTTCTTTTGTAGTTTTCATTTCCGCTGTTTGTATTGAGTGCTCGGGGCCTTCTTCCGGAAATGTGGAGTGGATCTGTGGCCTAAAAAATGGGACTGTTTTCCCGATCCTCCGTACTGAGTGTAATTTGACTTGTATCCATGGCCAAAAGGTTTCCTGCTATAAGGTTTTCTATCCTTAGGAAACGTTCCGGATATCTTCGACCCTACTTTATTGCCTTTAACAATATCTTCAATAACTTTCCCAAGGTCGTCTCCGAACAAGTTGTCAGTCACCGGATGGTCATTGGAGCACAAAGCCTTAAACTCCTCGTTTTTGTCCGGCTGAACGATCAGTTCTCTGCGCCGATATGAAAGGTCACAATATACAAAAGTCATTAATTTGAGGCTGTCCATCGCTAGTTTCGTAACCTCGCCAATCGGAGCTGTTTCACCCCCCTTCTTTTTTGACTTAAGAAGTATATCCAGCTGCTGGAGCTGTGGCACAATAGCTTTGCACACCAGTGCCTGTGTTTTTTGAAGTCGGACATCCTGTGTTCTGACTTTCCTATTAAGATGTGCCCAGATTTCGCTGTTTACTTTAGGTGTGATAAGATTTGCGACATTTTTCGGTCTGCTATACTTTTCACCGATCTCCTTTATTTTGTCATTGTTTAATTTTGTCCGCATGCCTTCATTCGCGACTTTCGCCAATTTCTCATAAATTGGTTCACTGCATTTGTCCTCCGAACCAAAACATTCTGCTAGCTCTTCTAGGAGATCGTCTGGATCGCTTTCTTTTTCTTCTGTCACTTCAGACAGGAGTTCCTCAAATTCGTCTTTGTCCGCCTCCGACTCGGACTTACTACAGTCAGGTGCCTGCTTTTTACTTGTTGATGCAGACTGGGGATTATCCAGCGCCTTGCGCTTCTCCCCCTTATTTGTTTGTTCGCCATTCATACGTTCTTGCATCTTTTGTACAGTTTGTGTTAGACACAGCATTGTTTTTTGATTTTCTGACAATTGTTTTTGCATTGTGGCAACTAGTGATTCCACAGCTGTCTCAGGTGCGTCACCTTTGAGATCTTTAGCATTACGATCATTGCCATTGACGGCCATTATTTCAGAGTCTGTGCTCATGTCTTTGGGCGCGTCGCCACTAGACAATTTATGATATATAATATTCAATCAAGAAAGTTCCAAAGATAGTTAATCCGTCTTGCAATCACGAATAGAATCCAATAAAAAGTTCACACAAATAATCTAAACTAAACTATAACACAAATAAAACTAAAAAATCCAAGAGCGTAAAAATTTTGCTGCCGTACGAATCACGTTTGCTTTATCTATGAATCACGTGGTAAGCTTATCATCTCTCATTTGAGACTGAGGCACCACATTGGGAGAAGAAATTGTCGGTCGCTGTATACTTTTTGATCGGATTCGTTTGAGTGGTCACGCATTGCTCAGCCTGATCAGACAGGATAAGACTATAAACTTCATCGTTTTGTATAGCGTATCACGAACAAGTTTTACTTTTTTCCTTATCCTTCCTGGCCGGTCTCATGACGGGATACAATTTCTTTCTTTTTGCTTGTTCTTCTATTTTGGGAGGATATTGCAGATTGACCCATACATGCGTTCAGCCAAGCTTTTGGGGAGCACCTGTTTGTATGAACTCAGGATCATTAAAGAAGGTAAATTTAACCACTATATTGCGTGGGTACATTCCGTCTCCCCAGCCTGTGCACTCTTTCAAAGGATATTTCATAATATGGTTTAGATCTACGTTGGATAAAGTCCTGCAATACTGCTTCAGTATTTTCATAGATCTCTTCTCGTATTCCGTTGAAAATTAGGTTGTCCCTCATGGCTTTTAGTTCATAGACTCCTGTAGATTGACACTTGCCTCATTAAATGCCTGTATATCGTCCTTGATCTTCTGACCTTGTTGATCTTTTCCCTCTTGTTACTCAACCATCTCCTTTCGGTTTTCAATGACCTGATTCTTGTTGGATTCTACTGATACTTTTACTGCATCAAATAGAGAACACGCATTAGATTCGAATTCTTTGTGATCGTTTTTGATAGTTTTGATTTTTTCTTCCTTCTTGTTGACCTGAGAGGTTATTGTATTTACCGCTATTCGGATTTCTCCTATAGCTGAAATTTTCTTCTCGATTTCGAAGAAAAACGAGCTTCAAGACAATTGTTTTTAGACTCCATCATCGTCAGTATGAATGTATTTTTTCCAAAGTAATTTTATCGTCATTACACAAGTCCCCGCCTCCTTCGATTACATTATGGCTTTCAGTAACAAGTTTTGCTGTGTCTGTCATCGACGTTTTGTCACTTTTATACTCATACACTAATATATGATATTGTATATCAGTTAAGTGTGTCTCACATTATGATACGTTCAACACAAAACACAATACAGCAGTACAGCCTTCACAACACATAATAACACAAGCTGCACGGGTGAGCTTTGCTCAGTGACACACAAAGAGAGATTGATTCTAAAAAGTTTCTTAAATATACGACAAAGCTACGCAACAAAGTTAATATTTCGAGATTAAACGAGATTAAAATATAACGAGAAGATAGGTATAATCAATATCCCTTTTAAAATTCGACAGTAAGTTTAAAAACGAAGCATTTTTCAGATTTTCTGTGAGACCGATCGAAAAAAGACTTTCCACTTCCTTGACTTCCCATCTATATCTTTATACATATCAATATGTTTATAAATATTGATAAATAGTGTGCATCACTTGCTTTGCTCATTAATACAGATCTGTGCTAATCTGTTGCCAATAATGAGTAACTTGAGTATGATGATGTGTACGGAGACTTATCTAAGTTTTTGAATCCCGGGCAACAGGAAAGATAACCCTAAAAAGGAACTTCGATACCAAAGATTTTGAAAATAATTTTTCTACATGAATAAATTTTATCTTTATTTAATTTCTTGTTGTAAATTAATTTATCAATGTTTTTTCTATACTTTCAGGAGTCTTCCTTAATTTTTTCTCTCCACTTTAGATATTTTTTATATCCTTTAATTAATTTCTTTAAAAATATTTTGACGGATAAAATAAAGTTTTTTGTGGTTGTTTTGTGAGCTTATTAACATACGATTGGAAAGAACAAAATTTGTTGCTCTACGTCAAATCTCAATGAAAAAAAAAATATCTTGAAACTTATGAGTTTATTTTTTCTTAAATCACAATAAACTATGGTTCAATTTCTGGTCAGATTTTAAAGGTTGATATGCTTGTTAAAAGTAATGCTCAGTTATATAAGAACATAGGCTGGAAATGTCCCTAACAAAAAAATACTATAGTGAACTATAGTTTACTGTAGTTAACTATAATATCAAAATAAAAACTTTTGAGCTTTGATTTACTTTAGTAAAAACCTTTGAACTTTGATTTACTATAGTGAAGACTTTGGAACTTTGATTTACTAAACTTTGATTAACTATAGTAAATCTTTAATACTTGATTTACTATACTAAAACCCATGGAATTATGGCTTTGATTCCCATTCTTGACATTTTATGATATTTCAAGGTCAAAATTCATAAAAGCTTCCAAGAACTTTTTATCAACCCGACCCTCCCCCAAAAACATTAATGTCCAAGAAATGATTTTTTTTTTTTTTTTTTTTTTTTTTTTTTTTTTTTTTTTTTGCAAAATTGTCTCTCGCTCGCTCCGATAGATGAGCAACATGTATTTAAATGTATTTGATTTAATGCAGATGTATAGTGTAATTTTGTTAAGGAGAAAGGAAAATAATAAATAATAAAATAAAATTTGCGTCATTTATGACCAAAATACCTTCTGTATCAATTCCAATAAACCTGTTTTCTTTTAAATTACAAATGTAAATATTGCATTTGAATTAGCTAATTTATATATTTAAATAAACATGTACAACAACCCTCAACCCCACCCAACCCCACCTCCGCCCCCTAAAAAACGGCAAAATAAGCAAAACAATTTTAAAATGCTTAATAAGTTGATAAACTGTTGTGAAAACTTTGAAACTTTGATTAACCATAGTAAAAACTTTCTTTGACCATAGTGAAAACTTTGGAACTTTGATTCACTACAGTAAAAACTTTGGAACTTTGATTTACTATAGTAAAAACTTTAAAATTTTGATTTTCCACAAAAAAAAATTGGAACTTTGATTTACTAAAGTTAACTATAGTTTACTATAGTATTTTTGTCAGGGGTGTGGAGGACCCTTAATCGGTTATGAAAAAAAAATAATATATCTTATTTTTATTTTTTTTTTTTAAAAAATCATGCAATTTTACTGTAAATATATCTAGGATTTAAATACATTCAATACAAATGCAGATGACAAGATCTGCTATAACTTAGTTTGGAGGACTCTCTATTGACATTCACGCTATAGGACCTTCGATTCCGTTCAGAGGGATACACATGACAGTAGATAAAAAAAATTCCAACCCGAAAATGTCTTCACAATAAAAAAAAAATCAAAGCCAAAAAAAAAAAAAAAAAGCAAAAAAAAAAAAAAAAAAAAAAAAAAAAAAACAAACAAACAAATAAACTCCTTTCCCAAACGTATTAATCCCAGAAGATTTCCTGACAAGCGAAAATAAGAAGATACAACGTAAAATCCATTTCCCCACCCTATTTCGTGCTTTAGTAACTCTGCATATTTCAGTGGGGTCTGCCCCACCCCCTTCTAGATCCGTGCATGGAGTAAGAGAAAAACATAAACATGCATATCCCTTGTAAGAACCGAGCATACACATTACAGCACTCTCCCAAAAAATTTCTGTGCTCTGTAAATATATGTAGTATTTTAACTGCGCATTACATACATATACCGATAAAAAAAGGGTCATGGCCAAATGATTGTATTCTATTTTAAGAGCCATGGCCGACAAGTAGAAAGACGTACCTTGAGCGCTCTACATAAGGAAGTGTTTTAAAGTCTTGCATCATTATTTTTAACTTTGATCTGTTCAATTTACTACGCTAAATTTTAATGCGTTCTCATATCTTTCGTTTTATGTGCAACTGAGGATTTTAATGCGTAATTTGTATTTTACTGACATTTGGATACCAAATGCTAATTTTAGTGAGTACTGACCAGTGTTGGGGACATCTGACTATATGTAGGATTTAAACATATTTGATGTAGCAGAAAAATCACTGAAATGTATAGTCCTCTGAGGGGGGTCGAACGTCCAACGCTGAGATCTTCGATCAGGAGTCCTATCGACTGAGCTATCGCGGACCGCTTCATATACAATATAAAATCCTGTATTTAAAATCTTATATTTTAAGATCAACTATTTTTAGAAAATAGGAAATTGTGTTATTACTACTTTCGTTTTAAGGCAGTAATAAATGGTTTATAATTATCTTTCACAATGAATGATAAATATACGTTACGCATTCGTTGTAATATTTAATTAACATAGTTCATTCTTGTCACCATTTTTGGATATGAGCTAGATAAGACAAAATACCTGGAACAAACTTTATAGAATATTAACCATATGAAATTAAATTAGCTACATTTTGATTTATATTCTTATTCAAATGCTATTTGTGTTAACGAGTGTCTATCCCTTACTTATGCAGAATATGAAAACGTTTCAAAATGTATATAATACAAGTCCATGCCAAAAATTGTAACTAATTTCCCTCCCATCGATATTTACGGTGAATTGAATTAAAACGTAATAAACTTATGCTAATCACTGATATTACCCTAAGAATATAGCGATGCTATTAATATTAGTAGATTTGAAAGACTCATCTTTAGTTTAATACGCTTCATAACAAAACTAATGAATAAAGAAATCATAGAAGAATTGGACGAGTTTTCACTTCTACTTTTGTGTGTATGTATGTGTGTGTGTGTGTGAGTGGCGGGGGGTGGGGGTGGGGGGGGGGGTCCATATCATGTGCGCTAAAAAAATGTTATAAATAGAATAAAAGTTTTATCTGGTTTGTTTAATTTCTCTGAATAACTAAATATAATAAGTTCAGTTTTGAATTGGATATTCTGTGTACATGGAAAACTTGCAAAACCAAAAGTTACTTATCCGTGAAGAACAGATAAGATTAAAAGAAGCATTTGTTCGGATCTTATTTCGACCACTCACTTAAGATCGTTATCTCACCTTGTCATTTGAAGCCGCTGTAATTAATTGACGTTTGGGAATTTTCGGTGTTTATATTATATTGTAAATTAAACATTTATTGAAGTAACCAGTGTCGAAATTGGACGACGTTTCTTGACCTGTATGCTTCTTAAAAGATAAAATATATTCATTTTTGTTAATGTTTCATAAAAGTTTGCAAAAAGATCGCCCTGGACTAATTTATTTTTTTGGTTTTAAACTTAAACTCTATCTATTGTAGGTCTAGGATTCTCTATGAGGCCAACTGGATAAAAATTTGTGACGACTACTTTGAAAAGAACAGTATTCTTTCTGAGAAATTCATAAAGGGATGTAATTCGAGTTTTGTTCTTTCTTTTCCACATTATGCTGAAAGTAAAACCATTTTGTTGTCTGCTAATTCCTTTTTATGAAATGCAGGTAGGTTTTGTTTTTGTTTTTTTACTGAATGTTATGATTAAAGTTATATATTTTGTTGCAAAAAAATTATGATAAACCGGAAATTAAAGATGGATTAATATATCCAATAAATATGAATATAACAGGCACACGCATATATTATCCAGTAATGTTATCATTCTATCGACTTTAAAAACTGAAACTCATTTATTGATTTATTTATTTTTTTTTTTTACCTCATTTATTTATCTTTTGCCACATTATTTAGGTTTTGTGTGTCATTAACTGCCCAAGCATACAGCAGACTGCCAGGCCTGTTAATGAATGCCCAAAGAGCGAAGTAGCATGGAAAGAAGCAGCTGCTAGAATGAACTGCGAACATATAATGCAAAATTGTTCACAACAACGCCAGTATGAATACCACTGTGCTTTGAATATCTTTCTAAATGAATCGTGGGAATTATGCAGCATAATGAAATACATGCTGGGTATTTCACTTTGTCCATCTTAACGATTTCTTTTTTTTTTTTTTCTTTACTGTGTAGTTTATTAATGACTAAAAGACATCTGACTTTGAATACGAATAATAGCTTACTGTTTCTGTGTCAACTTAGAAAGGAAGAAACGTTGGTATTATCAGTAATTTGCGTCAGTTTATCAACGTTATATCTACAGAAAGTTGTTGCTTTTATGTTGTATCGCAACTTTATTTTTTTTTCAAAGGTTACTGCATGGAATATAATGAAGAAGGGAAGAGGATTCAGAACAATTATCATCGGAAATGTTTGGATTTGAATCCCCCTTGTCCAACAAGATACAAGTCAACAGAAACATACAAATGTAAGATGCCATCTTTAATATTGTTGATACATTCAGGATAGCATCTGAGACAGGAAGCATGATGTAACAATCTAATGATTTGACTGAGACAATTTTCATATCTTAAAAAAAAGTATCAAACAAAAATGACTGATTTCGTCATTGCTGATGGCCATGTATTGACAATAACTATACAATAGCTAGCAATCTTGTTATCACTTTTAATCTTAAGATTTCTTTTCTTTTCCAGATCAATCCTGCTATAAAAAAGTGAAGGAAAACGACCTCCTTTCTTCTAAGCTTTCTGAAACGACTTTAAGGCTGGACAACACTACAAGCAGCACAAATGATAAGTAGGTTAATCTTGTATCGTGAAGAACTACCAACATTCATACATGTACATAATTTGAATACAACTGCATGTTGCATATATTATTTTAACGTCATTCCATAAGCACACAAAATCAGTTTAACCTATAGATACATTGAAATTTTAGGTAGAAGACAGTCATAAAGAGGTCTTCAAAGAAATTTATGATGTAAAATACAATTTTGTATACTTCGTTCACAACATATTTACATACATGTACATGGGCAAATTATTATTTGATAAATTATACCCAGACTTGTGAGTTGGATTGGGCTAAGCATACTGGAAATCATTTGTTTGGAGGCAACCCATTTATGCACATCATCTCATTCCTAGCGAATCAGCTCGTAATTTTATATATATATATATATATATATATATATATATATATATATATATATACATATATACATATATATATATATATATATATATATATATATATATATATATATATATATATATATATATATATATATATATATAAACCTTGATTTAAATGCAATTAAATAATTCATTATAAATATATATTTTTTTAAATTAAGATTAAACTTTTGATTTAAAAAAAAGTAGTTTCACAGGTTAGTTTTATAATTGTTACATGTAATTTAGAGAGAATTATAATTAATTTACAGGAATCATAACGGAGAAATGCAAAGCGATTGGATAATTGTTGTTATGTCGTCGATTGTAATCTTTGGAACGCTTGCTGTGGTTGGATATATAATGTGAGTATATACACAAATATAATGAATAATACAACACATACAGTTTTAATCAAAATAGGTTGTACTGAAATGTTTCTTCTCTAACTGCGTTACAAAAATCCAATCCTCTTCGCTCCCGGTGGAGCATAATGTCAACACGAGACTGCGCCACTCAGCGTTTCAAAAATATCTGCAGGGTATTCAGATAATATTCGAAAGAATTTTATCCTAACTTGTCTCTCCTTTCATAGTACAGCATGTTAAAGTCAAGAATCTACATGCACTTGCAAATTAACTTTGAAATAGGTGGTAATTAAGAATGATGTTTTAAGATGGCCGTCTGCTCAAAAGCTTGATTACTATGGTTATCTTCATCTTTCAAATAAAATAGTCTGCATTGCATTTATTAAAAGAAGAAAAAGAAGATAAACAGCAAAAAATTTCTAAATAAGAGTTTGTTAAAACGCTAGCATACGTTTAAGTTTAGGACATTAGTGTTTGTATAACAACTAGTCTGCTCTACGTCACATTGATATCCTGATTACATTGCCTCTGTTCACCTTCATTATATGTACAGGAACCTTCTAACTGGGTGCATATATAGCAAAAGAGCTATATGCTTAAAATCCTTAAAGCCCTGTATTGTTTTCATGCTATAATACTGCATTTCCTTCGTTTTTGTTTTACTTGACATCTTTTTATTTCAGATGGAGAAAAAAATTGAACAGATTGAAAAAGATGAGAATTTTATACCATTAGATCTTGTTTTGAAGTATATGTAATATAACAGCAACTTGGAAAAGACTTCTTCGATCAACGATTCTTTAAACGGAGAGTAACACTTTTTAACACAATTTAGAAGGAAATATACCATAGATCCAGGCAAAATCAAACCTCAGATGGCCCACCAATATACATATTATTATTTTTGTTAAATTATTATTTTTATTTTAATTTCTTTTTTCGTTTTGTGAAAGAATTATGACTGATGAGTTTCTTTGATTTTATTTTCCTGAAAAAATAATCTGCACATATACAATATAAAGAATTTTACAATGAGACCATAATAGTCCAGATAGAAAAGACATAAATTAAAAGTGAAGATAACGAACAAAAATCCAATCAAACAATACATTTTGTGAGCAGGCCAAACACGGACATCTTAAAAAAACATCAGATGTTTCTTTAGGTGTCCAGGAGGAGTACTAGTTACCATCTTCTTTGACTGCCACATCATATTATGTCCCTTATCATGTTCAGAGAAGTGGTCAATTCAAGATAATTCATATAAAACAAAGGCTAACAATTTGTATGTAAGAAGCCAATCAACATTCGACCTAACGACAATACTTCCAAATGTATCGACCGTAGAATTGCCGAAATATTGACTATAAATGAAATTATAGATACCCTTGTATCATCAGCTTACTTGTCAGTGTGTCTGCCTCGTTTGAGAGATTATTCCTACGAAGAATATGCTTTTGCATATCGAATCGCCTGCAAAAAATAAACCCCATATAAATTTGATTATGGTATATGGCCTCATAAATAAGGGAAGTTGACGATAGAAAAGTTGACGTCATCACGTAATAAATATATGTTCACTTAAGAAATGAATTTAATTTTTGAAGATTCATGAGGACATGAACTATGGCGCTTCACGCCGGCATATTTCATGAAGCGCGTTAGCGCTTCATGATAAAAATGCCGGCGTGAAGCGTTGTAGTTCATGTACCTCATGAATCTTCAAAAATTAAATACATTTCATATATTTACATTATTTTTCTGATGAGTTGCCACAAATTACGCCATTTAACTGTCATTTTTAACCCTCTTACTGCCAGAACTGTGTCACATTTATGTATTTCATATGCCAGAACTTTTACAAGAGCAAAAAACAAGAATTTAAAGTATATTTCTGGAAATCATGAAAAGGCTGCTGATTGTGTTAGATTTACAGGTTGATTTTATTGCTTCTACTTTGATTCTATCCCGAACCGTTCATCGACGTCATCCTTAACTTCGCAGTGCGTCACAATGGGGAAAAAGTCCGCGTAATTTGACAAACTGTAAAAATCTAATAAAATTAGCACCGAGTTCGAACACCTCATTTTGTTAACTTGATTATTGAATTTTTAACTCGGATTTTTTTTTTCATATAAATTTAAATGTTTCATTTGCATGACAAATAGGTAGTGATTTCCTCATTGTTTTGTTATTTTTATTCTCATAAAAATTCATTTATATTGAAGAGTATTGTTTTAAAACTATCAATTATATACTTTAATTGATAAAAACCAGTAAGCTTCTGCTTTTGACTTAAATTGTTATATTTTTAATTGTTTTTTATTTAATTTTTCGAGCTGAAATATCGAAATTTTATACCCGTCCTCAAGGCCGGAAGCAGGGACGGGAGGTGCGTGCGGTCGCACCTCTCACATGTTAAAAATTAACTGAAATATTTTTTTTCACATAAGTTCATTATTCCTCTGCAGCTGATTATAGTAATGCCCCTTCTAGCAATTGAAAAAAAAGAATCCAACGATACAACAAACCACATAAAGCTTTTAAAAAAAAAATAGCTTATGGGACGTACGTACCTCTCCCAGACCCCCCTCCTTTGTCGCAGCTCTGAGTATAAAAAAAAAAACAGTTTCTAAAGAGCATTCATCGTGGTACATGTTCATGCCACTAAAATGTGATAATTTAATGCATTGTTTAAAAAATACAGTCATCATGCAGATCTAATGTTCTCACAGACACAGCCCGTTTTCATGGAGCAGCAAGATGGGTTGCAGTTATTGTTCCCGGAAATACCGCTGTGTATGAAATGCCCGAAAGCATTGACCTACACAAAGGGCTGCGTCACAGTCACAACACTGGAACCGTGTTTTCTTCGTAAACACTTTGCATTTTCCATGTTTACATTCTGCAAAAATGGATAAAAAAAGACTGATACGAAATTAAGCCATATTTGAACGAGTAACCTGGGGATGGGAATTATCAATTCTACTCTCAGCACTAGTATGAAATGAAATACCAGGGGCGTAGTCGACAAAGTGTCTTGCTGTTAACCTCTCTATGCACTGGGCCGGTCCTGATCTCTGACTGCCAGCTCTGTACTCCCCAACGAGTTCTTGGCACAGTTTCATCGTGAACTCCAGTCGACTGATTTTCCTCCTCAAACCTCGATTTTGCTGATGTATGATGTAGCTATTCACTGCATAAATTTTGATGACAGTGTTGAAAATTGTCATGAGTTAATAGGCTCAAAATTTTTAAAAAATCGCTTAAATGCATTAATGTGTTTACATTTTAATTTTCCATTAGAATAGTTGATGTGTAATGTGACGCGGTTGTAGAATGAACAGATCATTACAACTCTAGCATGCACAGATTTAGAGGGGGATTCGGACCCCACTTTCCCGAAGTTTAAGAATCATTAAAATTGTTTTTAGCTGGTTTGAAATGGGGGTGGGGGAGTCCACACAAGCCCATAGGGGTCTAGAAAAAGTTCCAGCTAGGATGAGAACCTGTCTGTTTTATATTGTCCAATTATTTTGCAGTGCATATGTAAGGAAGAATGCTTCAAATATTTCTCCATGTAATTAGTTCATTTTTAAGTATAATTGTTGATTTTATGAAAGTGAACTCACCCACGATGCGCAGTAGAATGTTTGTAAGTATTTTTTTCCACATTTTTAGAGACCGAATGTCTGGGTCATAGGTTTGAACCTTAGCATCCGCCAGATCTACTCCTCCCATATACTTGTTGTACAGGATTACAACATTGGGCAATCGCTTAGTAACACCTCTACTATTTTGATTTTCCTCCAAACTATAATTATGTTATAAAATATATAAAAAGTAAAGGTAGAAAAAAGAAACAAAAGCTTTTCAAAATTCACCAAAATTATTAATTTAAATTTAAATAGAACAAAAGCAAATTTTATATAAGAAATTGCCTAGATATATTCAATATTATTTATTTACATTGGGGTTCCGTAAGAAGATATCATAGTTATGTTTTTTTCTGTCGCCGTATTTCACTGCCATCACAGGACCGGATTGTTTTACCACCATATCTCCCTTCTGAACCTTTGTCTGGCGAAATGATCTGGGCATACCTTTTCTTGATACAAATTTTGAAACATGATTAGATTTTTTTTTAATAATTACCAGTAAAATTTATTATATAACAATTAATAATTACTTGTAGAATTAATTCAAGTTTTATTTTTCAAGGGTCAATTTTATGGCGCATGAATTTAATCAAACTAGTAGCGACTGTGTTCTTGTAAAAATCTATAGCTTGACATCGTCTCATTTTTTTTGAGGGGGGGGGGTGTCAAAAGCTGATTCTGATTCATATATTTTCATTTTTGCATATTTATTAAAGACTGTTAAATTTTGCACCTTGCATCTCTCACAGTTGAGGTTAGGTATGTCTGATTTTGATGTAGGTGGTCGCAAAGTGTTGGACTTCCAAAATAGTTGTCAACAAAAACATGGTGATTCTTTCCATATATTGGAGCTACGAGCTCATCAACGACCTCAAACCCAACTCCGTTGGGATGCGTCAAATCTCTTGTTTGTGCCTTTCCTATTTTTAAACGAAATATCACCATTTTTATCAAATAAATATGGATACACAACATCGGACTTAGGACAGTCATTTCAGAAAACATGAACACTGAATTAAGTTTTCGTTATTTTTTTTAATACGATTATTTCTGCAGGGTATCTAATTTTAATTAACAACTCCATATAAATGTCTGATTTTATAAGATTTTGAAATATCGGTAGTGACACTAACGACCTAACACTATTTGTTTTATTGCTTAATCTTTCAGCGATAACAGATATGATAAATACTAAATATCGTATCTGCAAAATATCTGTTCGCATTGTTTATTTTAATGACTTAATTCTGCTGAAAGTGGTTTTTATCATACATAAATTTTTCCATAAAAATAACTTAATTTGAATTTTAACGTTTTTTTTTTATTTCGGAAAAAAAAATATGTCTGTACATTCAATCCAAAACGATGAGGAAAGTGCACATAAATAGGTAAGTATATATATTTTTGTCTACTCCCCCATGTAATTTATACACTTCTTTTATTTATGTTATTTGCAATAATACTTGAATGCAAAGGTAATAAGGTTAAACTAGGATTTTTCCGGGAAATATTAAAACAGTTCGTGTCGGACTGGTAAGTGATACTGACTATGTCATCTGAATATCCAAAAGGGGGGGGGGGTAAGTTTTTACTATTAACAAGACTATTTCTTACCATATTTTTTTTTTACTTTATAATGATGTAACAGCTGTAAATTTTTTTTTACAGACATCTTAAACGTGGAGTGGATAACTAGCATTTCCTCTAATATATATATATATATATATATATATATATATATATATATATATGTGTGTGTGTGTGTGTGTGTGTGTGTGTGTGTGTGTGTGTGTGTGTGTGTGTGAGGGTGTGTTGGTTTCACCGATCTCCCGAGGACTATGGTGTGAAAAAACACCTTTACTCCGAGGACGTAAATTTCTTCCGAGGACTTTTTCCACGTCCTCGGAAAAAAATTGCTTGTATCGTCACAAAATATCGAACTACATCACGTGGTGAAATTTGGTGAAAGTCCTCAGAAGAATAGTAAGATGTGAAATTGTGTTACACCATCACACACTTTTATCGTCTGCCATAACACACATTTGATATTTTAGACGCGCGCTGATGCGCGCGCATCCAAACAGGATATTTCCGATGCGCACTGATGCATGCGCATAGGAATGGCGGAAATGATGAAAGGTCTTGACTTTTACGTCTCAATATGTAAGTATTCACAATATATTTACTTAACGTTGTTTTCATTAATGAAAATAAATAATCTTAGATAAAAAAGACATTTAACAAAGAATTTTAATGCTAGTATCTGTACTTACATGTAGATGTAAACAGATAGGACATACACGAACATTAATAGGAAAAGACATGAACAGATAAATGATAGATCTCATTTGACTACTTAAAAACGTGTAATTGAGGAAAAACTGTCAATGAAGAAGGGGAAATAATAAGTACGGAAAACATATGTTTATACCATGTTCATTTCTATGAGCCTTTCAGGTTTTTAGGTGACATTAACTTGTTGACAAAACGCTTGCTTATAATAACCCCCCCCCCCCCACCTAAACATTTTTTTTAAATCACAAAACACTTGTACAAGCAATGATACGTGGCACTGGTTAACTTAATTCACACAAATTAAGGTAGGATTATTAAAAATGGCAGTTTGTAAATTTAGAATTTACAGAGGGAAGAGCCAAAATTACTGAAAAGGGAAACTAAAATATCGATCATTTATCTTCACATGACAATCAAGGTCCGTCGGATGGGACTTTAAATGGTGCCCCGTGTCAAGGATTACAACCCCCTTGGCACGCAAAAGATCGTTTTTCTGGTTTTCGAAAAAGAGTAGGCTCACTGGGGGCCGCCAGAGAAACCCAAAACTTTCAAAACTGGTCACATGACATAACTTTTTATCGCCGGTATATGGCTGAAATAGTGCCGATTCGGCGTAAAACATTAATCAATCAATCACATGACAATCTTAGATTCCTCACTTTTTCACTGTAGAGACTTTTTATTTGGAATCGAAAACAATGTGTAGTTCCTTTGACATAATTTTCAGAAATGGAGCAGTAGATTAACTTGTTAAAAAAGTAGCATGCATGCAAATCTTTAATTTATGGAAAAGCAAAATTAAAAAAAAATATTCTATTCTTTTGGAAAATCATGGTTAAGTTTTATGGGTCTGAAAAGCAGTGGTGATCAAGAAAACAAGACCAACCGTACTCAGTATTTATAACTTAACAAACTTTCAGAAACTTATAAATGGAATATTAAGGTTATGGATTTTGTTTATATTTGTTGTTGTAAAACTCGAGATTAGTATGAATACTTTTGCACACTTCAATTCATTTAATGTTCCTTACCTTTCATCTTCAAAACACAAAACTGATCTCCATGTTTGTTACAGGTTCCTTTGAGAATTTTTCACTCATATTAAAAAGCCACCACTTGCCGGTGGAGGGCTGCAAATTTAAAACTGTACTCAGTACTTATGGCTTTTGAGCACTGAGGGATCTTTTTCATGCCAGCACTTACTGCGACACAGGACCTCAGTTTATAAGGTCTCCTCCAAAGACCGGTCTCCACGTTCTGCTACGCGATTTGAATCCTAAATGTAAGGATCATCTTACTCCTCGACTCGTCGCCTGCATGGCGCAGTGGTTAGAGCGTCTGCTCTAGAGTCGCGGAGTAAGGAGTTGATCCTTACGTCGTGAGTTCGAATCCCACTGTGGGACGTGGAGACCGATCCTTCAGATGAGACTGTATAAACCGAGGTCCCGTGTCGCAGTATATGCTGGCACGAAAAAGATCCCTCACTGCTCAATGGCCGTAAGTGCCGAGTATAGGACAAAATTTGCAGCTCTCCACCAGCAAATGGTGGCGTCTCCATATGAGTGAAAAATTCTCGAGAGGGACGTTAAACAACATAAAAACAAACAAACAAACTCCTCGACTCTAAAGCAAATGCTCTAACCATTGCACCATGCAGGTGACTTTGATTTCCATGCCTCAGAGGAAATGACTTGATAGCCTCTTATAGGAGTAACTGTCACTGACTATATGCACTACCTATGTAGTCACATAAACCAAATACTGCTGCTCTTTGAGACATAGTTTATAAGTCTTATATAATGCACTTAAAATAAGTCAAGATTCCAAAGAATTTCAAACATCCCATTCATTCAAAGAGTTAAAAATAATCAATACCTCAGGAAGTTTCAACAATTCTTAGATTTGAAAAAATATTTGCTCAAATTGAATTAGATTTCATATTTTATTCTGTTTATGTCAAACATGATGTTCTATTTATTAACAATTGATTTCTCTCCTTGGTAAAATGATTTTTTTACTGTTTATTTAACGTCCCTTCGAGAATTTTTTACTCATGTTAAGAAGCCACCACTGCCCTGTGGAGGGCTGCAAAATTAGACCTGAACTCAGCACTTATGGCCATTTATATTAGCAGTAAGGGATATTTTGTGCAAACACCTACTGCAACAAAGAACCTGCTTTATACGGTTTCATCCAAAGGACCAGTTTTCAGATCCCACAATGGGATTAAAACCCTTGAAGTAAGGATCAACTCCTTACTTTGCAACTCTGGAGCAAAAGCTCTATACTCTATGCCACGTGGCGACTGGTAAATTGATAAACATGCACTAAATATGTTAACTCTACCACAGGCCTCTATGTGACCTCTAAAATTTAGGCACCAACTGGCTCCTTATGAAAAAAAAATTTAGTCACAAATGCAAATTTTAGCTGCCAGGTAAATTTTTCTTAGGCACCAATCTAAAAACTGATATTAGTCAATATTAGAGACATGTCCATTGCTTCTTTTCGGCTCTTTCTAAAAAAAAAAAATTGAAAATGTTTATAGTTCAGTAATTTGATGATCACCAAGCCAATTTAAAATGGTCGCCAATTTGGCGAATTCTAGAAAAATTTTAGGCACCAATCATAATTTTTAGGTGCTATGGCAACTTAATTAGTCGGCAATTAGACCTATACCATATATCGCATACCCTGTAATTGTTTTCACTATCTGCACATTTTTGATTTTTTTGCCTTTACAAATCAACTTGGTTATAAAGATACATGACTGTATAATTTTTGTAAAACAGCTGGATTTTTAAGTTAAATTTCTTTTGGTTTAAAGCTAGGTTATTAAGGGACATGCAAGCTTAAGTATTTCTGACACATTTATTCTATCCCCTTTAAAATTACCATGGGGCTATAGATACACGTTGGTCATGTGATCAAATCCCATGGAATCCAAAGGGCTTTATGGTAGGTAACAACATATGACTATAGTCCCATAGATGATAAAATATTATACTTTTTCATGTTACATTTTGCCCATATATGAAGCATTAGAATATTATAAATTGTGTATAAAACATTAATGTTTTTACTTTGAATTTCAAATGTCAAGCGTCACCTGTGTGGCGCAGTGGTTAGAGCATATGCTCTAGAGTCGCGGAGTAAGGAGTTGATCCTTACGTCGTGGGTTCAAATCCCACTGTAGGACATGGAGACCGGTCCTTCGGATGAGACCATATATATCGAGGTCCAGTGTCGCAGTAGGTGCTGGCACGAAAAAGATCCCTCACTGCTCAATGGCCCTGAGTACTGAGTACAAGTCAAAATTTGCAACTCTCCATCGGCAAGTGGTAGCATTTCCATATGAGTGAAAAATTCTCGAGAGGGACGTTAAACAACAACAACAAAAAATCAAATGTCAAGCTAGAATAAGGAACTACAGCATTGAACTATTGACCCTTTTTAGTCATTCATAGTTATAAATGAGTCTCCTTGAATCCTAATATTTCTCAGGAGAAAGCACTGCAATTTTAAATAAGTGTTTATTTTCTAGAAACTTTTGTTTGTGCAGGTGTATCAGATGCATTCCAAAAGTGTTCAGTCACTGAAAATTTAAATACAGTTGAACTTTGGTATCTCAAGCACTGATAACTTGAATA